CAATATGTTTTGTTGAATTTGGAAAATGCCTGGAACTTTCTCCTCTTCACAGTGTAAAAGGCTTGTGTATAAGGTTTCCATGAGGCCATATGGGCCTTTAAAACATGATCTGAAAAGTTGCAAAGCTGATTATCCTCCAAATTGTGAGTTACAGAGGTTGCAAGTCAAGATGTTTAATCAATACTTTGCCTATTGAGTGGAAAACAGCAAGCATAGGTGGAGTGCAAAAAAAGACAGGTGTGAATCAAACCTGTCTGGGCCACCAAGAAGTAATCAAGATGCAATGAGCTCTATTGTTGTATTGTTCGTTCACAACACTCATGATCAATGGGAAGGGAAAGAAGGCATGAGTTAATTTCTTCCCCAGAGGAGGAAAAAAGCAGCTCCCAGAAATTCTGGACTGTAGCTTGCTTTGTTGCAAAAAAACAACATTTTGTGGTTAGGACTGTGGTGAATGGGACTATCTTGGAGTTGCCATACCGTCTGAACAGTCTTAATGCTACTTTTAGAACAAGTTCTTACTCATGGGGGGAAGGCCACATAGGGAATCAGAAAGAATACTAGATGTTCTTACAAGGCATATGGGGTGTGGAGGAATGAGACATTGGATGTGCCACTCCAAGAATGAAAGTGGTTTTGTCTCTCTTGTTTATGTAGAAGACAATGGCAATTGTGTTTTGCAGTTTGTAAAACTTGTCCGTTAAACCAAGTTTGGACCTTGGAAATAAGGAGCATCAGTTAACTGATATGTAGCACCAGTTCCTGGTGAGGCCACAGTTCTTTGATTGTGAGGGAATAGCAATGAGCTCCCCAGTTATGGAGCACCATGTCTGTTGTGACCACAACTGTCAGGCAGTGTGTGTAGACACTGAAACCCTGGAAATGTTGAGGTAGGTTCCATGAGCACATGATCAGCCTGACACAGATGGTATGTCTGAATTTAAACAAGATCACACAAACAAGATCCACATAGTGTTCTCATGTGAAAGCAGACTAGAAGTGTGACTGGAGAAGTTGAGGAAATGAGCCCAAGGGGGAATTAGATCTTAACTGTTTGGCAGGTCTGAGCAATGGCAATATTTATCAGAGGGTATCCTCTGTGTTCATGGGAGCTAAGCTCAGGGATGAGTCAAATGGAGGAATATCCCCATAAACTGTCAAGTTTAAGACAGGAGTGAGGTTGGATTTGTCTTCATTTGTCTGAAGGCTGAGAGACTTTAGTAGAGACAGGGCAGCAGCAACTTGGGTAGAGAGTTGTTGGCAAGAGAGGTATACAAAGATTATATATACAAAAAAGTGAACAGTCCCCATGTAGCCTTAAGTCTGCTGAAAATAATTATCACACAGTGCTGCAGCTAGTCTGAAGGAGAGAACAATGAACTGGAAGGTTGTCACCTACAGCAAACCTGAAGAAGGGGAGACACAGGATGTAGGGCAATTTGGAAATCTATTATCATAAACAATCTCCTCAGCATAGGAGGAAGGCTATAGGTTGGAATGTAAATCATTCTGCATTTTTGAGAGGCAGATGCATTGTTGATATTTCAAAGTCTAATAAAAGGTGGAGGCCAACATCCTTTTTGGTGACTGAAATGTTTTGAAAAGAGGTCACTTGTGTAATGTGGGATTTTTCTGTCATATCTTTACTCAGAAAAGTGATGATTTCTTCCTGAAAGATCTAAGTAGGCTAGGTAGAGTAGGCCACCCATGGTAGTAGTCTCTTTGAATTTGATAAGGTAGCCTTGGGCAATGATGGAGCTTGCTTGTTTGCCACCCTGGGTACCTCACTTTGAAATGTCTTCATGAGGTTCTTGACATGTTGACATCTTAATTTATAAATTTGTAATACTACACTAAATGTGTTCAACTTGTGTACTTTGCTCTTGCAAAATAACAAATATTTTTAAAAGCCGGAATATTTAAACCAAGCATTTATTTACACAGCCAGAATTGCTTCCCCTTGGTACGCTTCTTGGCTATTCCCGTTAAGAGGAGTGTGTGAGGTAGTCTAGTTCACAGACACAATTGTCACTGCATGTTGTGAGGTTTTTTCCTACCTTCCAGCAGACCAGACCTTACAATGCTTTTACTAGAGTTTAACAGGTCACAAAACAGCATGGATCAAAGTGATGCTCTCTTTGTGATGTGGGAGTAGTTTCTGCCAATGTTAAGAGTTGAAATCAAACTGAAATATCCCCTCCTTCCCAACCTTTCAGAAAGATTCTGTCTCCTCCCCCAGGGAGGTTCCTGCTGGTTGAGAGCTAGACAAAGGGGATGCCAATCACTTCTTAACTGGTCCCCTTGCTTCACCTGGCATCTCCTCACAGGGTCAAGGAACTCCTCCTCAATCTCTTACCCTGAGCCATTCTTAAATGTCTACCCCCTTCACCAAGATGGGCTGGTTCCCATGCTTTGTCCAAATACCTTCACTAGGTAGTCCTAAAATTGGGAAGTCAACAGCTCACCTCTGCCCACCTGCCTTCTCCTCAGAACTGGATGTAGATACCTGAGTAGATGGCAACATGCAAGGGCTGCTCCTCCCTCCACTGCTGCTACTCAATCCTTCTACTTAGCTGATCGATGTCCCTGTTCTGTTCTGTTGGCTTCTTGAAAGGGTGTGAAGGTATATATTTGTAATTAAGTCTTTTAATTTTGTAGTTGTTTTAACTGTCAACTGTCTTTAATCTTCCTATTTTACATTGCTGGGCGCAGACTTTCAGAAACGAAAGGGTGGCGTACAAATGTCAATCATAAATACATATGGCCACATCCTTGGCCACAGCTGAGGATGCCCCTCACTCCATTAGATGAAGCAATATTGACAGTATGAAGAACATCAAGCAGTGTCCACCTGAGCTACTTCTCTCTTGTCTCTCAATGTAACTGGTCCATCTCCATGGAAAAAACCAACAGCTGCCTTCACCACCTCCCTGCCACAGCTTCAATAGCAGCCTAAGAGGATGACATCACAATCTAAATTCTTCTCAGAAACCAAAGGGTTCCATACCTTGCATCACCCAAAGCATAATTCATTAAACTGAGTAACAGGCTGAAGCCAACAGTGCCGTAATAAAGACATGAAGCATGTATACCTTACTTATAAAGTAAATATAAAATGGCCACATTCCTAAAGAGTTTGCTAGTATTACAGAAACTGAGAGAAATGCAAGGCAACTTTTTGTTTCTTTGAAGTTTCCCAGATGACAAGGAACAGGTTGCTACTGCTGTCTTAATTGATTTACAAGATGTATGTACCACTCCTTATTTCAGCAGGGAGATTTTGGAGAAATGAAGCAAAAGACAAAACAGATAAAAGAATAAAACAATAAGTTAAAACCACAAATCAATAAAACCATAGTGAGTTACTTCAGGAAGGCTTTTTCAGGAGTATTTTCAAGAGGCGCTGGAAACAACGCAATGCCTGACATTCAGAGGCAGGAAGTTCCAAACAAATAAAGCTGAAAGCTTTTCCTCTGGTGAAGTCCAATTGGGCCATATTTCCATATGGCTTCCCATGACCTTGGCGATCAGGGTAGTTTGGTAAGGGATAAGGTTGCAGTAAGGGAGAAGGTATCTCTTAGCTGTCCTGATCCCATGTAGTTCAGGGCTTTATATGCTAGGACCAAATCCTTAAATCTGGTCTGGTTGCAAACAAGCAGCAGCGCAGTGCCCTCAGCAAAGGAGTTGCAGACTGAAATCAGCTGAGCTGCTACATTCTGTACCATCTCCAGCTTCTCAGGCAGCCTCACATAAAGCACACTGCAGTAATCTAATCTTGCATTTATTGCTACCTGGACCACTGTGCCTAAACTATCCCTGTCCAGGAGAGGAGGTCATGGTGAATCACTCAAAGCTGGTAAAAAAGCACTCTGGGTTGCAATGGCTGCTTGGGCCTCCAGTGTTAGTAATGGATCAAGGAGTAACCCCAGACTACAAGCATGATCTTTCAAAGAGAGAACAACCTCATCCACAACAGGCAATAAATCTACCTCCCAGAGTCAGGAACCACTTATTCACCCAGCTTCCATTCTGAAGTACTCCGCTTCAGTATTTTGGCCCTCATCCAGCCCATCACTGAGCTTAAGCGCTGATCCAGGACTTGCACAGCCTCCTCTGATGCAGATGTCACAGAGAAATATAGCAGTGTGTCATCAGTGCACTGATAGTAATTGGTTCCGATTTCCCTAGTAACTACTCCTAGCAGTTTCATACAGATGTGAAGCAACACTGGAGAGAAGACAATATCCTGCAGAACCCCACAGCTCATCTGTAGGTATGACCAGGACCACTATAACACAGTGCTTCCAATAACCAGCCCACAGAGTCAATCCACAAGGATGCCATTGCAGAATTAACAAGGTTGTATTCCCACTGTTACTTTCCTGATGAAAGTCAGGATGACCAAACATGATTTGTTCCCAGAACCAGGTTGAAACCCCAACTGGAATTAGACTAGATAACATTCTAAGAGTACTTGCAGTTGCTCCAACAGGACTCTCTCAAATAGCTTTGCGCGTGGAGAACAGTTGTCAAATACCATCCTTTGTGAGCACATCTCAGGCTTATGTACAACCCCCTTCTCCATCTCTCTTCCATTTAACCATTAAATGGAAGCCCAGTTATATTCTTTTGGTTTATCCTAAGAAACTTTCAAATGAGACAGCAAATAACCACTTTGCAATGAAATGATCAAAAGTATAGAATACCTCCCACAGGTATTTTTTTTTATTTCAAGCATTTGCTTAATTATTCCAATGAAATAGATCTTGGAAATAAACTATATAAATATTTTTTTTAAATCAGCAACAAAATTTTGTTTACTTATCTATATGAAATCATCTAATGCTCTTAACAGATCTACTATATATGCAAGCAATAACTGAGAATTAGTTTTCTGTATTACAAAGAACCTCACTTCTGCAGTATTCCTCCACTTTAGAAACAGAATTACAAGTTTAATGTTGAGAATCTTTTCCTTGTACAAAGAAACTTTTTTTTACCTCCAATTGCAGCTCCTTTCATCAGATCTTGCTTTAGAGGAAATACATTCTTCCTCCTCCCTTGAATTTTCCGTTTGTCTCCTTGCTTCAGCTGATCCTTTCTGGAAAAAAAGGGTTTTATAACATGGTAAAGCACTAAATCATCAAGTTCCAGTTTCCAGAAAAATATATCATTACACACCCATTCATTTGTGGATTTGCTCAAAGTCCATAATGCATCCGGCCTTATGCTGATTTGGTTTAAAGCACAACAGTAATCCGTGCAGCCCTCTTAGCTGGCTCTGCAATCCTTGTACTCAAGTTACTAATTCGTCCAACCAGTCTAGAAGGAAACCACCATAAGTATTTGCAATTTCATTTTGGCAGAAACATAAGTTACTTGCAAGCTTTTTGGACACTCAAGAATGCTTTATGTGCATATGCATATGGAAGAGAGAGAGAAAGCTCATATTGTTTAAGAAATAATTCAGGCGTGGTACTCTTAGAACAAAGTTATCTTTACAACGCTAAACAAGTCGACTAACACAACATGGGTGTAAGAACACCTTCTACAAGAAAGCCACTGACCACCGCACATATAGCTTCCACCCAGATTACACCACGGGATCTATTGTCTAGCCAAGCTGCTACTGTATTTGTTCCAGCTCATCAAACTGGAAGAACACAAAGCATTTATGTCTAGCATTTCCTGAACAACTTTACCCACACAGCAATTGAAAAGATCAATTGACAAGGCCAGACTAGCATGCAGGAATAATCTACTAGATTGCAGATTCAACCAGAAAAGTGACTGAACACAATTTTGTCACCCAGGTCTCGCTAAACCACTCCAACTGCCAGTGAACAAACAGACCATCTTGGACACTGATGCTTCCTTTTGCATGCGGGTACTGAGAAAGAAGAGAGGAAAGTATTTCCCCAATACCAGCAGGAGTGATTGTCCACAAAGTCTGGGTCATGTTCTACTCTGTTTCAGAAAGAACGGTGCTTTGCACTCAGGGCTGTAGCAAAGAAGCCAACAGTAGGGGCGCCTTACCTGCTGAGGAGGTGGAACCTGACAGTCAGAGAAAACTGCTACTCATGAGGGGCACACCTTGATCTGCTGAGAGAATCTGTAGGGTGTTGGACATTCCTGTCTGTTGGAATGCAAGAGGCAAAATGTAGGAGGGTACCACCAGTCCCCAACGGTCAGTGTAAGCAACAGCAGGAGAAAACCTTTGGCTATGGCTACCTGACTCTGGGTTGAAGGTTTGGAGGAACCACAACTGAAGTAGCCTTATGTGGAGACATCCTAGAGCTGTTACTGCTGTGGTTGCAATCATGGAGCCAAGGAGGTGATTGCTTGACCCTGGGGACCTTTCTGCTTGTATGTGAGACATTGCAGTGTGCCTATTTTGTCTATGGAGAAATAAGCAACATTTACGAACATGTGAACTTGAGGGATGACTCCTATAAGCTTCCATGACTGAGAAGAGATTTGGCAGGACTTCTTTTTGAACTGCAGGCCAAAGGACTACAGCGATGTTGGCTCACGGTAGTGAGAAAAAGGATCTCAGTATCGGAAAAGAGTCAGTTCTCCGTATCGGAAAAGAATCCTTGTAATCTCGGGTGTGTTGCACCTCTCTTTTGTAGAGACCTTCAGCACAGTTGCCTGATGAACAGGAGAACTTTGAACTGCAAGGCTTTGTTGCCCAGGGTGAAGCTAAGAAAATGAAATGAGACATGGTGAATACAGATGTCAAACTAAGTGTCACAGAGGACCACATAGTAAATTAGTATCTCTGACTCAGCAGGGAAAGGATGGTCACTCAACGCTTTCTTGGATATATGTAGTGACTGACATCCTGAAGGCTGAGTTTAGGCCAAAGACCTCCATCCTTTTTGGGGACTATGAAGCATCTGGAGACAAAAGTGAGATTTTGAGTGGGAGTGATTTTTCCTCCCTATGGAATCTTGCTTAAAAGTGTAGCAATTTATTTTCTGAGAACTGGTCTAGGATGAGTGGAGAAAACAACACTCAGTGGAAGGGATGTTTTCAAACTTCATGGGGTAAGCCTGAGTGATGATGGAAAGTACCCATGTAACAGTGGAGATGGCTTCCCAAGCAGTGAGCAAAGTTCTGAGTCTGTTTGGAGCAAGAGATGGCCAGCGATGAGGAAGCTCTGTAAGAGTTGCCATTATTTAGATTCACGAGTGTTTGCCCTGTGTGGACTGTCAGTGTTTGCCCTGTAAGGATTACATACATTGAAAGGAAGTGTATGGAGTTGATTTAGAGGGTGGTGGTGGTTATTTTTTGTGCAACAAACAAACCACAGCTATTTGAAATCAAATAGGGTAGCTGTCAAGTTGACTGCTGAGACTGCCTTTAAGGACATAGACAATTCATGGATGCCAAAGAAGACTGGTATCCCATTCCCACCTTTTGTGAATGTCTTTTGCCTCTGTCTCATCTTATAGATATGCTCCAAGGCCTAGCCCATGGACCTGCTGAAGAGGCCTTTGCTATCCAATGGAAACAAGGGCTAAATCTTGTTGCATGATGGTAACCATGATATCATGATAATACATCATAGGCCATGTGGCAAGTAGCCTCCAATGAAGAGGCTGAAACTGGCATTGATGAAGAGGAGTCCAATAATTGTTCTGTCCTGAAGAATGATCCTTGAACAGGAGCTGGCAGGTGCTTCTGGGTAACTGGGAATGTCTTAGTTTGTGGAGCTGTTTACAGCAACTGGTTTACAACCTTGATGCAGCTGGCTGGAGATGGACTGTGAAGAGCAAGTGGTAAGCTAGTAAATGCAGGCACTGTAGCAGATTGTGACAACTGTGTATCAGGTGGCTGTGATAGCAGTTGAGTTAGAGATGCACAGGTAGGAGGTGCCTCTGATCATTCCATTTAGTGAAGGCAGTACGAATGCTGAGGGCTAGAATAGTACCAACAGGCATTTTTGTTCCTGTACTCATAATACTGCCATAAAGAGGAATGGTGTCATAGTGCTGTGGAGGATCTCTACTGATGTAAGGCTATAAGCTGGCATATCACCATGAGGGCAGAGAAAGCTACTTTAGAAAGCCAATAAAGCTGACGAGGACTCTTGGCATTTAGGGAACTGATCCGTATGCGGAGAATGAACCCAAGGACCATGCTGGTACACGTTCTCAGGAGGCATGATCCTATGGGAGTTGTTACTTCTCCAGAACTGATGAACTTGATGGACTCCAGAAATCCAGTGACCAAGGTAAAGACTGAGAAATAATCACATTTGAGGATCCTTGTTTCAGTAGTCAGTCATTGATTTGTCATTCAACTCAACCCTGCAGGCAGCATTTTTCTTTTCCTTCTTTGTCCTGGTAACTGGGACCTTTGATCCAGGACCTGACTGGATTGCCCTGATTGGTCTCAACTGTTTGATCCTAAAGGCTGAGTTCTGAGCTATGCTACATTGCTGATCATTGGTCCATAATCCAGCCAAAGCCAATGCCAAAGCGGGGGCTCCACTCTCCAAACCAGGACCAATTGTCTTACATTTTTTTCCATGGATTGGGGTTTTGTCATAAGAGAAAGCCGGAGCTTTCTTTTTGCAAACTGGAGATGAGGCAATACACACTGATTCAGTATGGCTGCATCTTTCACCATGAGGACCTGCTCCCGTAGGAGGCCATGTAGATGCACTGTTTACTGTTTAGTAAAAGTCTGGCTGTGGATACATATGCTTCTCTAAGACAAGGAATGCAATAGGAATGTTTCAGTTAACAGTATATTCCTGCTGCAACAGGTACACTTTTTGATGAAGTCCTTGAGGCCATGTGACTTGCAGGGAGTGCACAAACTGAAAAGAAAATGAGATCTCAGAGAAAATAGAAAAGGAAGGAAAAAGAGAGAGAAGACTTCACAGCATCCTGGAACTAGATGCTAAACACATTTTGTACTACAGTAACCATGATGCACAGAATGTTCCAAATGTTGTTAATCTTGTGTGATGAATTCCCTTTGAAACTCTGTTCAGTACTAGGCTGTTCTGAATGTCTCTTTTGAACAGATGTATAAGCCGTATGTGCAAGTTACAGACCACAAACAAAGAAGAAATGATTCTGCCCACATGGGCTTAAACTGAAATAATAGTTTCCTGGTCTTCCGCAAGTATTAATTAACCTAGCTATGCTAAGATGATTGTGTTATCAGCAATTACTGCTGGTGTGAACAGTCACTTTGCTTATCGTAAGCTTTACAGAAAATCTTGAGACTGTAATTGGTGCATTTCATCACTGTTGGACCCCATTCTTTATGTTCCCCTCTCTGTGTTTATATAAAGAAACCTGCCAACTGAGCTCAACCCTTTGTGTACCTGAAGTGATCCGTAGTCCAAGAGAATGGCAGAGCATTCTCCAACAGACAGTGCTCACCTTGCCCACATAACATGCTTTGAAATGTGTCCCTCAAAGTGAAGGTGGCAGCATATTTTGCCAGTGAGATGGCACCTTCTGGGACACAAAGACAGTGATTGCACTGGAGCAGCAATGGAAGGAGGAAGGTCCTAACAGGCTACACAACCAGAAATGGGGAGTCTGGGTGAAAAGGCTGTTGTCATTCCATCAAGAGAAGTGCTGAAATGTGGCTGCAAGTGCATTGTTTATTTCTGCTTTAAGCACTGCTGTCTGCTGGTAGGAACACTCCTGTGGCATTGCATGGGTGCTGTCTTAGAGGCAGGAGGGAGGGAAAAGTGCTTGAAATGCTTTTGGGAGAAGCAAATGGAGTGTTTGGGGGTCACCAATTGCCTGTGAGCCTTTCAGTGAAAAAGCCATGGAACTTGCTATCAAGCTTGTCATCATACCATGCAACTGCCCAGGTAAACTCAGCAACTGCAGTTCCTGCCCCTGACTACAGATCAGGTATAACTAGATTGAAGAAGTGCTTGTCCAAATACAAAGTTATGGAAGTCCTGCTGCTCACATCCCAGCTTCTTGAGAACTTCCAAGGTATCCACAGGATGAACTATCCTCTTATGAATGCTATTACTCAGCAGGCTTTGGTGATGAGCTTTGTCCAAAAACCTTTTGAAGCACAAATACATAGGGTGAAATCCAGTGCAGTTTTTTTCTGTCATTGGCTTCCTCACATGAAGTCTACTGGACTACCTTTGTATTAATGCTCTTTTGGAGCCCTCTGAGTGTTTTCAAAGGTGCCTTATTGGCAGAGCAGAAGTACTCTCATGTGGCACTGGCTTCAGCCCATGAGGTCCAGTGGATTGCTCCTGTCTATGTGCTTGTTGATGCTCTCCATGGACCACAAAAAGCACTACTTCTAAATATTATGTGTATCCTTATGTATATATTGCTGTAAAACTACATCAGCAGCCTCCTGAAAATGAAAAAAGCATATAGAGAAGGTGTAAGATTTAGATTCCCAAGTAACTTGGCTCCAGCCAGCAGATGATCATTCTGTGAAGCTTCAAGACAATCATGTTAGGGCCAAAAGACACTAGGAATCAGCACGGTACAAAGGCAAGATGTAAAGATACTGACTGCCTTATGCCTGTGACAAGGTAGTCCTGTAACTGCTTCAGCACAAGTGCAATGCATCATTATAATCCCTATCTACTATACTGTTGTTCAATTGATTTTCAGCAGTGCTGTGGTGTGAACTGAAAGCCATCCTAAGAATGGAATAATTGTGCCTGGTCTGGGCATATCTGCAATTTGGAGAGGTGTGATGAGTACAGGCAAAAGATGTTGCCATGGTGACTGGCACATCACAAAAGGGCTGCTGTGGAAGGTGTGGCTAGTCATAAAACATCCATTTTCCAGAAGACAAACTGGGATGCTTAAAAGAAAATTAACTTGTCAAGAACCTAAACAGAAGGCAGAATGTCATGTGAGTTCTCACACCCTATTTTTTTGAGCCCACAGTGTTCAGCTTCAGTGCTTATTTCATAGAAGGCAAATGAACCTGGCAAGTCTCATAGACAAGTACTGTGGCCAAGAAACGGAGGACCTCTGCCCCAAATGCCAAATTAGAAACTCCACACACAGAAACATACAGAAGGCAAATTGGTGATGCTCAGGGAAGCACACACACTCTGAGCATCAAACACCTGTACCTGCACACAGCCCTCCCAAAAAACCTGCCTGTGTCAACCCTTCCCCCGCACATACCAAAACAACTCAAATTCAGGCAAAATGCCAACACACACACATGCAGGCTTGATATTTCACTCTGCCCCTAGGCACATGATTATTTTAGCAATGCAATTCACACATCCAGCAGAAAGTTACTGTGTAAGAACAGCAGGCCTCAGATAGAGCAGTGCTCCCACCAATTTGATTGCATAAACTAACCCCAAATCACAAGGAATACTTTAGGGCTGACAAGTTTCATGAGGCATTCACTATGCAGCCACAAAAACTGGAAGGGCATCCCTAATCAAGAGATACCACATGCTTCCTTTAAAATAAAACAGAAACATCTGTATCTTGTTGCAGGGTAATCCAAATTTGACCGCAGTAAGAGCACTGGTCCAATCAAAGTACTAAGACGGTACTTGAATTTAAACCTCCTTCCCTCCATGGGATTAAAAGCATAGGAGAAAAGGTTCATGAGGAGACATTTTATCAGGATACCACATAACAGAAAGCATTAAATACTTTCTCACTAGCTTAATGTAAAATGAAACAAAGCCAAGACGGTGAAGTCTCCTCGAATATCTCCTGCTAATACAGGCTTGGTCCTGTGGCTATAAATCAAGTAAAAATCTCTTCATTAATCTCTTAGGCTTAAGAACCTTGCTCTCTGCTTGGCAGGCTTTCTTTTTAGAGATGTTAAAAACAGGAATAAAAGTGCATCTTACCTGTTTGTAAAAATCCGTAGAAGGGGATGATCTGGACCGTTCATGTTTATACTGAGATTTCTCCAGCTGTTCATGGCCAGCATCAAGGATGTTGTCAGCTGAATGGTACCTTCCTGAACTCCGAGTCTCTAAAGGTTTTCTCTGCTCTTTCCACGATGCTTGGTATTCTGCAAAAGTTTCTAACCGCTCAGATTGCCCAGACTTTGCTTTACGGCCACTGTAATGGACATTTTCTTTGGATCTGTCATAAGCACCAAGCATATTCTCAACTCCAAAAGAAGCTGACCTCATCCTTCTTTCATACCGTGACCCTTCAATCTCACCTTCATGAGAATTTTTATGAGGAACAGGAGGCTGTGCTTCTGGCCGACCATAAAGTGCATGTTTCTGTGAGGACTTTTGATAAACAGGTTTACTGGTTTCTTCAAAGAACTTCCACCTATCTGCAAAAGAACCCAGAGCTTCCTCAGAAATGGTTGGACGGCGTGGGCGGTAGTCATCTTCAGACACACCCACTTCATTCATTTTCTCAGGCTCAGAGTAAGATTTCAGTTTTTGTTCCGCTGTAAATCTCTTCCTTCCTCCAATGCGGGAAACATGGTGAACATTACTACCTGATGAACTCTGTTTAGAAAATGGTCTAACCTCAAGCAAACCTGACTCGCCTTCAGAAACAAGAGCCAGTGGGGAAGAGTTATAAGTGTTTGGAAGAAAATCTGCAGAACTGGCTTCCAAGTCTCGGCGCTGGAAGGAAGTAGCCTTCAAGACTCTGGCCTGAGCCTCTTTCAAATTATCCTTGTACACATTAGTAAAAGAACTTTCCGATGAGGAGTTGATCTTGTCTGAGGAAATGGGCTGCCAGTTCTCAGCACACTCTTCTGCCTCAGTTGATCCCGCTAAAGCCGCTGTACTTTTGCTTTTCTGAAGTTTTGCTCTTTTCATCTGAATCTCGTTTCTCAGTGTGGTAGCAAACCGATCACTTCTTCGCGCATTTTTGCTCAAGTGAGTATCAAATCCAGGCTGCTTAATAATCCCCATTTCAGCAGCAACATCAACCTGGCTTCTCCCTTCCTGAGCTAAAGAGTGCAACATCGGGGTCTTCTGAGGAGAGATTTTGTAGCTCTCTTGTTGACTCCACTTGAAACATTTCTGGACATTTTTACTGTTAGGCATCACTACACATTCCCGTCCACATTCATGCTCATGGCAGCTACTGTGACTGGTCTCAAAATTCTTGCTCTGCACTCTTTTTTCAGGGTAACTTGTCTTTCTGGAATCTTCCATTACAGCAGCCCTAACTTCCTCTCCTTTATGCACCACATGCTGACCTCTCTTTTCACATACATCCAGAGAAGACTCAACAGGTTGCTGAGGTAGATAGTATTTGGGACTTTGGCTCATTGTGGCTACGGCAGGATTCTCATGTGGCGCAGAGGAGACATGATTCCTTACTCCTGGAGTCCAGCATTCATCTCTGAGCTGTAGTGGTCTCGAGTTTCCCTGAGCAGGCTGCTTCTCTGTCACACAGTAAACGTGACTTGGCGCCGTGTTTTCTATTTTCTCCTCAGAATTTGCATCCGAAGAAGCAGTGGTAGTGGGACTATCGAATATCCTGGCTTGGCTTGGATGGCAGCTCTGTTTGTTGGTAGGCCTTTCCTGAATCCCAGCATAAGTGGAGAGGTGCCGCTGTTCCTTCGGTGATGCAGAGGCTTTTGCATTGTGAAAGAAAGTGCTTTCATCACTGGACTGGCGCTGGTGGGCGTAAGTGGACTGTGCAAATCGGACGTCAGTACTGGACAGTGACAAATGCAGCCTGTTGACGCTTTCCACGTTTCTGCTTGCCCCGTCCCCCACAGGAGGCAAACTGTAATCCAGACTAAGATCTGATCTACACACTGGATTGGTACCCTGCCTCCCGTCCACGGCCCTCTCAGCTGCCCTGGCAGCTCGCTTTGGCAGCTCTGCCTTTTCGGTGCTCCAGTCATTCTTGGGTTGTGTTCTATGCAGGACGTCAAAGTGCTGGGTGCTCTGAATACCCTCTGGGTACAGAGGCGCATGGGCTCTCTCGTGACCTTTGGTGGCAGCAAAGCTATCACTACGGAGAGGAGGTAGCGGTGGGGGAGGCGAGGGCGACCTTTTCTTGTCCGGGACATACCACACAGGCACAAAAGTGGATTTCCCAGGCCCAGGATATGCGGAATCGGAATGCTCGTCCAGCCGCGGGATTCTGCTGTTTTCATACTGTAGCGGAGCTGGAAGGCTGGTAGGTTTTTCCTCTGCTCTCCCATTATCGCTTATGAACGAGGCAGACTTGCCATTGCCCTGTTTTGGGGTCTCCCAGTGACCTGCTTTGTATGCCACATTCTCTGTCGAGGCAGCATCAGCACTAGAGAGCGTGTGGTCTGGAGTACTAGAACTGGTGGAAAAAGAGCCATAGGCAGAATCCCTTTTGCTGGGATTCCCGAGGTGGTCAATGCTGCTGTTGGACTTTGCAGAGGAAATCTGTCCATACTGACAGGGTTGGGGTGTGTGATCCCAGCTGTCCATGCTTCCAGCAGAGCTGAACTGGTCTGAGGTACGATGCAGATTGGACTGGTCCCATGAGCTTGAGAGATCATGAGAAGAGGAGCTGTTGAAGTGGAGAGGGGAAGCTTTAATCAATATAGTGTACACACACAATTTTCACTACTAACCAATTAACTTGACTCTAGATAATAATATAAAGCTACCCATACTATAAAATCAATTTCAGAAATTGTAGCTAGAATGAACTGTGTAGTTCCTTGGAAAGGCACAAGTGGAATGCAATCACTGGAGAAGGGTCTTCAAGTGAGCCCGCAGTGGTGTTTCTCAGCTCTCTGCATGACATATGAGGGCAAAAGATGTTCTGTTGACTCCTGCCCACCCACCTACCCACTGACCCAAAATTTAACAGGAAAGCTCTGCCACACGTGAGTTCTACTTCAACAATATTCTACTTCAACAAGGGCATCAAAAGAGGAGTATAAAATAGGAGAAGTGTGCAGAAACCTATAATTAAGAAGAAAGGAAGTCTTGCAGAAGAAAGGATTATGGGCAACACAATCTATCAATAACATGTACAGTGTAGAGACATGGTATAAAAGGAATCAAAACATCAGATTTTAAACATTCAGAATTCTACTGCTGGCCCACAGTAAATAGTAGTGCACTTCTGAAGGACAATTAGTTGATTTAAAAAAAATCATCATAGCAGAATGCATGTAAGATTATATTATCCAATATTTTATAAAAATGAATCAGATCCATTAATTGCCAGTGAATGTGTTCTCCAAGGGCCTTATAAATTAGAAGTTTACTTATTTTGTGATATCCTACATGCAACACAATTGAAGGCAATTGAAAACTGCTGCAACAGGGCCACTTTTTGTAGATAGATCATGCCATTCCTGGACAACAGAGGAAGCTCTTGCCACCTTAACAAAGTGGCAACATGAGATTCTCGGATAATAATTTAGGAGAATGTTTTAATGATAAAAAAACAATTACGCACTTCAGCGATTTCTTACTAAGTGCTGGCAACAAACACAGGTATAAATCAAGAAAGTAAACAGTTTATTTGGGATACACACAGAAAGAATGTGCATCTGTCACTTCTGAAGATCTGCTTTGGGACAACATATTCAGTTTCCTACCCCTGCTGTCATGTTAATGAAGCTGAAGGTTCCTTCGTTACAAATATCCATCACACCTGTAAAAGGCTTTACAGCTAAGTGCGGACGCCAGAGGAAAGGCCTAGAGAAGGGGAAAACAACTGCCAGCAAAATTGCAGATAGCTTTCTTCAGTTTATTTGCATAATGGCTGACCCTCTCAGTACACACATCGCTTTACAGACTGAGAGCAACTTACACTAAAAGTTGTGCATTGCTGGCAGGTAAAGATAAGAAGAAAAGGAGGCAGGCAATTATTTTTCTTACCCCTGGAGCTTGACGCATGTTCACTTGAAACAGGAACTCACCTTGCATGATACTGAGAGTGCCATGAAGAGCAGACATTGGCGGAGCAGAGCTGTGACGTGGCTGTCTCAGGCTGACTCTCCGTGAATTTGGTCGCATGCCAGGAGTGCGGCCTGCAAGCCAGGTCGCTTTTCCTGGAATGACAAAGGTAAAGTGCAGGCATTTATTGCTTCCATTATTTAATCAAATCACACACAGCAAAAATAATCCATCTCAAGCCTAAGGTGCACAAGTAGTAAGGCATGCTCTTTTGCTGAGTAGTGTCTGTGCTAACACATCACCTTTGAAAAGAATCCAGGCTCTGTTTTAAAAAGGACCTTGAAATGTAGATAATGAGTTAATGACAGCAGTCTGAAGCGCTGCGCCTGCTTCATCACTGCCGTTGTCGTTTTTGTTCTAAGTCCATCCATCACATTTTTAAACACCTGCTGCAAAACACCTTGAAAGTCTTCTAGACAATTAAGCCTTGCACACATGCATGCAGCTAAATAAAGGAAGAACGTTGGCTTTTATCGGGTGTTTGGAACTTCCCATTTTTGATCTGAACCACTGTAAGACTGGCCTGTGGTTACGGTATGGAACTTGATCTACATTCTAATAATCTGTTATTTAACAGAGGAAACAAACAAAATCACCACTGCAGGCTCACACCACATTCTTCCCTTGTGCTGCATGCTCAGTTTCGCCAGTGACCTGGTGTGTTTGTTTATTTGTACTATTTCTATACTGTTCAGTATTAAAAGAACCCCTAGGCATGCAAGCATACTAGCCTAAAGTACACAGTCCAGCTAAGCTTGTGGCATAATGGAATGAGTAAGCACAGCTCCAAGACTTTTCCTGAAAGCAGGAGCAATGAAATCTGTGGGAGTGCCAGATAATTGAGGGATCCTCCTTGTCCTGCCAAATGGATGAGGTGATACTGAGGCTTTCAGGTTTTGCTGCAACAGTTATGACAGATTAGTTCAAAGACACACAATAAGAAGTTAAGAGGCAGTCAGAGGGCAAGGAAAATAAAGAAGTAGAGGCTGGTTACCTCTTTCCTTTCATTGATGGAGCTGCTATTTCACACCAGCAGCTTACATGGTAACACTTCTCAAGATTGTTTCTATTTCTAATTAAATGTTGAAAGGTTGCATTTTATCTGGATGAAAACTTTTGTTAAAGCTCGTTATGCTTTGTAAATTGAACCAGATAATAACTGCCTAATTCAATGGCGCTTGCCCCCAAGTAGTTAAACATAGGATGGCAGTCACGCTGCCTGAGAAGGTGCTATGTCGCCACAGGTCTCCTTTAAATTGGCCATTCTTTATATTCTTCATAAAATGCCTTAGCCACAATTAAACTAGGCATAATATTGACATGCATATAGTGGTTACAGCATCACGCTGGGGACTCTCACTCTAACGCATCTCACAGGGTTATTGTGAGGATAACATAAGCAGGGGGACTATGTCAACCATGGATTTCTGGCAAGAAAGAAAAGGTGATTGGCAAATAAATAAATAAATAAATGGTGTAATAACACTACACAACTACATTAACTACATGGAGAAATGAAGGTGGGAAGGGAGAACTTCATCATGGATTGCTTGAGCAGGCACATGGAATTTTCCACTGGGGTAGGACATTTGGAACCCTGATTTCGTAAAATTAATGCCATACCTCATGGAGCTTCTCAAGATCTTCGTTAGATAGCTCCTGGCCACATGAATGTCATGTTCAGTCGGCATTTTCTCTGTTACAATATCCACCACCAAATTCATCTTCCTGAGCACCCAGGCAAGCAGAGGAAGACAACAGAACATGGGTTTTCATAATTTTATTTTTTTCCTGAGGATACTGAATCCTGTCCCAAGTTAGGAAAAAATGCTGGTGCATGATCTGACGGCCAGCCCTTGCTTTCACCCTCCACTATTGTGCAGGAGTATGTGAAAGAGAATAACTAAGAACATGGTTCTACCAAACTGCAGAAAAACACTAACTTAAATCCCATTAACACTAACTAACTCTATCTTAGTGTAGTTTAAATCCCATTAGAGAGATAAATTTTCCCTTAAAAACCACAGAAATAGAAACAAAGCAAAATAGATGAGAGAGATTTGGGGTTTTATTTCTCTCTGTGGATAAATTCTAAGAGTTTCGATAAGCTTTGCACATGTCAGGTACAGTATTATCTGGGAAAGGACTGGCTTTGGTTTATCATATTATTCCAATAGTGAACTCAACTTCTGGTCACTAAACACAGCTACAGGGTTTATTTTAATTGAGAAGAGCCCTTTGGTACATTATTTTCTACATCTGACATTTATGCCTCTACAGATAAGTAATCCAACACAGAAATCATTCCCAAATCTCTTGGTGCAAACAGAAAGAAGTCTGAAAAGAGAAAGAGCAAGGTATTAGTGAAAATTGTATTGCAAGATGGAAATACTTCTCAAGAGATTAGTATCCCAAACTATTCTGTTACAGTCATTTTAAGTAACCAGAACCAATCAACCCAGAAAGCATCTCTATCATTAATAGCACAGGAAGAGCATATTTGAATTATTATTCCTTCTAGTATTTCTAATAAACCAAACGGATTTGATGGGTCCATTAAATCTGTTGGGAGAAGAAGAAGAAGGGAAGTCAAGATTTGAAAAAGAGGACAACTGGCTGATTCACAGAGTTGGTAAGATAGCCATTTTGTGGGGAGAGACCACAGCTGCAACTGATTACGGATTGGGCACAGCAGGGTTTCTAAGGCACTGCCTTCCCCTTTTCCCTGCCTCAGTAACACCATGCCAAAGTACTCAATGCTCAGGTATGGCATGCCACGGCTTAACGGTAGGGAAGCAAACAGGTGCGACAAGCAGAATTACACCACCAGCTCAGCCCCTACTTGTGAGTTGGGCTGGGAGGGCATTGTCTAAACCAGCGCAGCTTGGACTTCCAACCTAAGCATCTGTAACTATTTTTGCTGGCTTAGCCTTTAGCAGAAGTTATAATAACTTCTAGTTTTAGTAACAACATTTATGAGTAAATTTCAGCAAAACTTAATCCAGCTAAACTAATGCCTATTACTGGTTTGACATGTACAATGTGCCACAGTTTTCAATGGAGTAATCTAGAGCAGAGCTCATCTAACAACATGCCAATGTATTTAGAAATTTCAAGGAAGATGGTAACATTTTTGTGCAAATGCATTTAATCACCCAAAGCAACCAGGTGTTGTACTAGATATGCAAATAGCAATGAGAAAACAAGATGTCAACGTTAGGAAAAAAAAAAGTAAAATTGGGTATTTAGAAAAGAAAGTACATATTGACAAATGCAAGGAGGGAAATTTTCAAAATTAACTCTCTTATACTCAGTGGGAGGAATTCTTATTCCTTTTTAAGATTACAGCTGTTACTTGCTGCCCACATTTAGAGTGAAATTCCTCCCTCTGCTGGCCAGTCTAGGCTTATTCTTTTGTCAAGGTGTACGTGAAATCAACAAAATGCAAAAGGAGAGGAGAAACAAGAAAAGAAAATGTCCTTTCAAACAAGGAAATATTTATTGGTAAATAGCTTCACTAGTGCCATGAGAAGTCGAGGGAATAAATTTACCAGAAGGGCCTGATATGGCGATTACATTGTTCAAACAATGCAAATATTAGTCTGCTTCTTTTTTAAAAAGGTAACTGCAGGGCATACACCCAAAATGTTATAGATTTTAAAAATTTATGTTTATTTAAAGTGATACTTTTTCAATATATAATCTCCATGTTCATAAACTGGGAAATTCTGCTTTAAACCGGAATTCAAGTTTTAGGTATAAGGCCAAATGTGCTGGTTCACAAGTAATACCATGTGCAAGGGCAGCAAAAGGAAAGGGGAATGAGAGAAGACAGAGCACACCTTCCTGATCAAGAACGTTATTCTGAACCATCCCATTTTTAAGGTAAGAATTTTCTTAATTTGGAAATGACAGGCATATGCAAAGTACTTTGCAAAGATCTACATGGCGCTTTATGACCCAACAGGATAATAACAGATAGCTGTCTCTTTGACTTACAATAAATACTGCCACCACTGGAGTTAGAGTTTTAATTTTAGACCTATCAGTAACCAGACTGATTACAAATTATCCTATGACTATTTCTGTTCTGAAAAGGCTTCTCGCCTAACTTCTCACTAATTATATCAATGCGCCATTTCCATTTAAGTTCTGAAACAGCTAAGAAACCTTAGGCGACAGGTGGAATTTCATGTCATGCGAATGGCTTGCTTGAGTGCTGCCTTCAGCTCACCACCCTACACTTTTTCACTATGAAAAGACAGTGAGGCATACCATGGTGAGGCATGCCCACAAGTGTCTTCTTCGGCAGGATGCATCATGGGTTATCATGCCAAGAAAGCAACATACCATGTAATGCTTTAAATGCAGTGGTGCTTGAGTCATACTAAGCGCAAATGCATAACCAGGTATTATCACATTTTGTTCCAGCTCTAAGTAACAAGCTTAGAAATAGATAGCTAGGACTTGGTTGGCTTTTTGGTCCATTTGTGAGCATGATCCCAAGTGCCGGCGCTTACCTTTAAAGGCCTTCAACTGCTTGGGGCCTCAGTGACTGAATCAATGTGTGAGCCTGTCTCAAGCTGACTATAAACTGAGACCATCTGTGGGGGCACTCTTCCAAGTGCTCCTGCTGCTCTGGAGTGAGGGAAGAGATAACTGGGGAGAATATATTCCCAGCTGCGGCAACTCCTCTTTGGAATTGCCTCTCTGTGGCAGCTTGCCCAGTACAATGCAGCTTATCCTTCTGGCACTAGATGAAGACCTTTTGATCTCCACCAGGCTTTGAGATCTTTAAAAATCTAATATATAGCTAATCAAAATGAAAGCCCACCAAATGGGACTTATTCCCAGGTAAGTGTTCATAGGATTGCAGCCCAAACTGTTGTTTGCACTTGATGTTTCATCATTTCCAAAGTGTTTGCAAGCTACACTAAGAGCTTTATTACTGAAGATATGATCCATCAGTCCCATTTAAAACCCTACCTACTGAGCCCAATCACAGTGCCGGTTCTGTATTTGCACTTATAAAAAACTCAGCCAAGTTTATCCTTGACTGTCATAATCTGTAAGAACATGGAGCATTTTTGTTTTC